ATGATAGTTTCATTCCTGTTACCTGCCTGAATTCTTAATTTTTCATTTCAGATATAGTATGGTTTAATTGTTGGTACAAAAATGAAAGCAGAAGTTGGAGTTTAAAAGAAGGTTAACTTATGTGACTTTATGATTAGTAATGTGCATATATTTAGACAGTGTTTTAGATCCTCTCCTTTATACAATCAGCATAGGGTTGTAACTAGTTGGCAGAATGGTTTCAAGTGAACCTCCAGGTCTGGGTGGTCCCAGGATTGCCAAATGCTGAGAGCTGCTCACAGTAGCTCCTGGTCTCCTGAGATGCTGCCTGTGTGGGGGACATCTGTGGTTCCCTACCCATATCCTCCCCAGTCCACTCAGTAAGAGAAACAGCTTAGGGTTGAATGTGAAAGACCATCTGCCTCCCAGCTGGGGAAAGCTTTGACATTTACAGGAAGGACTTTCCTGGCTTCTGCTGTTGAGGGTTTCAAACTGTCCCATGTGCTGAGACTGAGGTTTTCTCAGGGCTTTCAGTGGCAAATGTGGCAGTTCTGGGCCAAGCAGGGTGACTGCCTTCATGGGTACACTGGATCCCTGCTCCACTGCTCTCCTCTCTTCTCAGTCCTGAGCTTCTTGGTGCCCTGTCCTCCATTTTCACATCTCTCAGATCACTGAAACCTGGAAAATGGAGAAAACTCCATTTTCCCCTCTCCCAGTCCTTCTGCAGTGAAAGAGGCTAAGGTACAGCAAAGCTAATGCTTTTCCTCAAAGCAATTGTATTTGCCTCACTCCTGAGGGACCATCCTGGTGGGGAGTCACCCTGGAGGACAGTGTTAGGGGAACTCTTCCTCCTCAGGATCAGGGCACACAGGAGAAGCTGCACACTTGGGCCTGGACATTGCAGGGCCCTAAGCCCCACACCCGAACCACAGTGGCCTCCAAGTGTGGCCCATACTTTGAGAATTGCAGGAAGAGGACCAGCTTTGCAAAGGGAGATGAGGATGAGGTGATAGTGAGGATGCTGGTGGGGAGAGCAATTCCTGTTCTAGGGCGGCCAGTGTGTAATCTGGGCCATCTGTCCACCAGGAGTGGATGTGGCCTTCAGTCTGCAGGGACTCTGAGCTCTTGTTTCCAGTCTAACTTGTGACTTCATCAAGCTTCTCCAGTTACTTCATAGGTTAAAAAGATTTTAATGCTCTTCATTCTTCTATTTCCTTGTAGTACTGCTAGTCTCATGGTCTTTGCACTGAACAACATCCTCCTCCCCCTTGTTTTTTGAGACAGGGCCTCACTAACCTGATAAATTGCCCCATCTGGGCTCAGTCTTGCAACCCTCCTGTCCTTGCCTCCCAAAGCACTAGGGTTGCCAGCAGGCACTGCATCACCCAGCCAGTGTTCTTCATTCTTAACACTGACCCTAGGCTAAATAAAATAGCATGATGAGGGGAACATGCATGGTGTCACATGGAATGTTATTAAACATTTGCTGTTCTAGTGTCACTGAACATAGCACAAAGTCAGTTCACTTTTCTAGGAAGTGGGTGCTGGTATTTCTTTGGCAATATGACTGCATCTTGCCCAACAGGATTAACTTTATGAAACTTTCTGTGCATGTAGTTTTACATATTATATGACTTACTTTACTCCAGAAATTTAAATGACAAATGAATACTACTGTACAATTTAATTAACTCGCTATTGTTTTGGAAATCAAAATGATGATAAACAGAGTCATCTCAGGGGAACGGCTTGATCTCCCCTGAACCCACTGTGCACTGCCTGCAGGGTCTTTCTAAACCTTGGCTCCCAGTGGATTCTTTCTCTCCCAAAATGGCTATTACCCCTATTGCACACGTTTTCGGTGCATGGTGCTTTAGGATTCAGTGATCTCACCCAACTGCATCCCATCACATTTCACAAAGGCAGTAGTCACCCTGAGTAGAGCCCTCTGCCTTCTCCTGTCACACTCTGACCCTGCTTGCTTGAGAGTCCAGCCCCATCCCACGGGGACAAAGCAGAGTCAGCCAGGAGGAGAGAGAAACTCCAGCCCCAGGAAACCATGCAGAGAGAGATGAGCAGTAGAACCAGTTGTGAAGGTCCCAGGCAGGAATGCAGGCTGAACACTGGAGGAGTTCAGGGATGGTGGGGCTTCAGGTGCTACACCTGGGATGTTGGTCAATTTTTCCACAGTCTTAAAACCAATTGCAGTGTCCTATGTCAATGTATAAAATTATCAATACCATAATAATTTCTGTATGTTCTCAGAGCAAGTTAGTTAATTGTTCAATGATCTATGATAGTACTGAAATAATTCAGAACATGTGTGACATTTTTTATATCAATATCTAATTCAAAAGTATCATGATTAGGAAAATATGTGCACTTTAAATATTTATAGAATAAAATTATTTTCATTCTAACTAGTTAAATGAATGCACAGTATTGTCCAAACCTAATTGGTTTGTTTTTTATTATTTTATTCAATATCTTAGATATGTTTCTGTATTAATTTTTCCCCTAAATTGTACACACTGCTTCATTACTGATAATGAAGCACCAGGTACTAAAGCATGTGAAATTTTAAAAATGATATGAGTTTGGGAACTCTTAGTAATAAAAGCTTAACTTTAATTAGTAGCCTAGTGCAATCCCAGAATTGGGCTAATGAACGCTGTTCATTATTTTACCCTCACAACAACTCAGAGAGGTTGGTACTGTTATATTCTCCATTTAATCCATCAGGACAGACAGAGATGGTGGGAAACGTGTATTAGAACTGCAAGCTCACCATCTCCCTGCTTTGTATAATTTGTCTCTTTTCCTTTAGATCCTGGATCTAAATGAGATCATACAGCACCAGCTTTTCTATACCTGGCTTATTTTATTGATTATTAGGCCCTCCAGTCCTATGTATCTATAACAAATGAAAGAGTTTGCTTCTCTCCAAGGCCGAGAAGAATGGCCCTGTGTGTGCATCTTGCTTTCTGTATCTGTTCATCAGTTGAGGTGTCCATTTCTTGTGATTTAAGTTGATTCCATTTCTTAGCTATTGCAAATAATGCTGCAATGAACATGGGTTTAAAATATTACTTCAAAATTAAAGAATTAAGATATACTATGTACAGGTACAAATTCCCTATAAAGAATGTACTTGTTACTTATGTCAAAAGTGCGCCAATAGAAGGAATCTTAAAAATGTTCATTTCAATACATTTGAATTTATATCCAAAAGTGGGATTGGTGGATCAACTGTTTTTTCTATTTTTAATTCTTTGAGGGACCTACATAATATTTTCTGAAATGGGCATGCTAATTTATATTGTCACTAATTGTGTACAGGCACACACTTTCCACATTATTATTATTGTAATTAGTTTTATTCATATTTCCAATCATAGTCCCTCTATTGTGAAATGACATCTCATTGTGGTTTTAATTCTCATTTCCCTGATGATTCGAGATGTTGAGTATTTTTCTTCTATATCTGGCCACTCATATTTCTCCTCCTGATAAATTTGTTTTCAAATGCTCTTCTACTGATGAGACATGAAATCCTAGCTAATATTATTTCCCCTTCCTGCATTGCTTCCTTATTAACAGTCAAATCATTAAAGACCTGATATGATATGAGAAGAAACTGAGATCATTTCTGTGGAGAGCCTAGCATGGAGCCTGCCTCAGGCCAAAGATGGAAGCAATGGTGGTCGTAACATTCCTTTACCAAGGCAAAATGTATTAAACCTAAGGATGTTTAAAATGCATGACAGATTAGACAAAAGCTTCATTTAGTTATCCAGGCTGAGGAACTACACATGAATCTATCAATATCCAAAATTTCTCTACCAAAATATTAATTGAAGCTATATGGCCAAGGAAAAATTCAGCCTAGATTTTTGGAAATTAAAAATAATTTTTATTCATATCTTTCTTTACATCAGAAATATAATGTGATAACTGAAAAAATTAAGAACAAAATATTACAGATGAATTGACAGCAAGCTACTTCAACACCTTACTAGATTCATCTGATCATAATAGTCCTGAAGGCCAAGAATTCATGGCAATGACTGTCAGTGCATAAAAAACACAGCTATCCAATAAATATAAGCATAGGAACCTGAAAACAGTATACTACATAAGTTTTTGGAGATCAGTATTTTTAATACCCTAATCATTCTTTGCTAGCTGCCACTTTTTCTTGGGTTTCTTTAAGAAACATCAGTTCTATGCAAATAATTTAATATTTACACAATATACCTGATTTTCATAAGAAAAAACTGAAACATATTGAGGCTAAATGCCTTGCTTACAGCTGCAATATAAGAAAGGCAGCCCTAGCTTTTATGTGTTTATACCCAATTCTCTTGCCTTTATATGACAGTAAGTAAAACAAATGAGTCACTCAATTTTAGAATGTATTTATCCACTAAGTAAATATATGCAAATATAGACATTTGATTAAATTGTTTAGTATTTGGAAAACAATAAATTTGTCAGTGGTTCTATGTATATGCATCCTGAAAATATTATATGGGACATTTTCCCCATGAAATAACCCCATGGTAGTTAACTCTACTCCACTGTTCCAGATATTCCTACTCATCCATGTCTCTAGAACATCTACTTAATATATACTGCAATTAATCAATATTTTAAAATAGTAATTGCAATATATTTGTTCTGGACATGTGAATATAGGAAGGTAAGTTCTACTTGGACAAGTTTCGATTAGAATGATAACATTGCCATATTTTGAAGAAGTTTATTTCCTATATTTTCCTTGTCACCCACTGCCTTCAGGTTATCCCAGTCACCTATGGAAGAATATGCCTCAGAGAAGGGAATCTGCATGGAGATTCAAGAGTCTGCCTGAAAATCAGAACTCTACTCTCTGGGAATTTATTCCACAAGGTTGCATAAAATCTCTAAAGAGTCACACACACTCACACACACACACCCTCACAGCTACATTAATTCCTAGCAGTTCCCACTGTGGACTGTTTAATCACCCTGAAGGAAGGATGAACCACAGCATTGTCACTGAGTTCCTGATTGTGGGTCTCACCAGAAGCCCTGCACTGCAGGGAGTCCTCTTCTTTGTGTTCCTCTTCATCTACCTTTGGGCATTTCTGGGCAACATGCTCATCATGGTGGCCATCGTGTACAATGCCAGCCTGCACACCCCCATGTATGTTCTGCTTCTGGCTCTGGCCATTGTGGACACAGTGTGCACCACGACAATCATACCAAAGATGCTATGGACCATGCTGACATCACAGAACACCATTTCCTATGGGGGCTGCATGTCCCAGCTCTTCTCCTTCACATGGTCCCTGGAGGCAGAGATGGTTCTCTTCACCACCATGGTCTATGACCGCTATGTGGCCATTTGCTTCCCCCCGCACTACAGCACCATCATGAATGCCTACATGTGTGTGGCCCTGCTCAGCATTGTCATGGCTATTGGCATCACCACCTCCTGGGTACTCACAGATCTCATCCTGCGGTTGACGTTCTGCGGGCCAAACACCATTGACCACTTCTTCTGTGAGATTACCCACCCTGCTGGCTCTGTCTGCAGCCCTGTGAAAGTCAATGAAGTGATGGTGTATGTGGCAGATATCACCCTGGCCGTGGGGGACTTCACCCTCACCTGCATCTCGTACTGCTTTATCATTGCTGCCATTCTTTGCATCCACACAAAAGAAGGCAAGAAGAAGGTCTTTTCCACCTGCTCCTCCCACCTCATAGTGGTGTCACTTTATTACTCCCCTGTCATCTACACCTACATCCGCCCTGCTTCCAGCTACACCATCGAGAAGGACAAGGTGGTGGCCGCACTCTACACTCTTGTGATGCCCACCTTAAACCCCATTGTGTATAGCTTCTGCAACAAGGGGATGCAGGTGGGGGTTAGGAAGGTGTTCCCTTTCCTGAAGCTCTAGGGGCTTCAGAGGGAACATCTTCTCTCTCTTCTCCAAGCTTTTGTCAGGACCTCTCCCCTGGCAGATCTTCCATCATCACCTCCATCCTACCTTCTGCATTCCTTAGTATTTTCTTCTTTTGCCTTCCCTGCCTTCTTGTTCTCACTGGTGCCATAAATCTGTACTCCCATGTAAAGAACGCAAGTAAATCACAAAGTGTATCCCACCATCTTTCTAAAAATACATACCTACCTTCTAAGTATGCACATAATACACATTTGCTAATAAGGCAATGTCCACAGCATGTTCAAACAACAAATATAAACATAACTTTTAACATTGTTGCATTGACCAGTCTATGAATCAACTCTCCAACTTACAAAGAGGGAATATGCACTGTAGCATGGTGAGAGGTATTTCCAACAGGAAGAGTGCAGTGTCCCCTTGCAATCCATGTAATGATAAACATTATGCTGCAATGTATTTTTAACTCATTCACAATTTTTTATACTGCTTTGAAATAATCTAGTTCCTGCCACTGTTGCCTGCTTTAGACTTTTATTCTATGTGTACAAGAACTATGTATTACTATTAGAAATGCTCCCACAGAAAGTACCAGCCAAATTCTCATTAAATGTCTAGAGAACAATGGGAGGATGAACCCATGTCCTGTGCCTGGGGAACCCTGTGTGATGGCACAGGGCAGTGCACACTGTTGGCCCATCTGTGAAGGTCAGAGTGGTGCTGAGAAGGATGGGGTAGGAAACTCCTGGGGAATTTGCTGGAGGACTACACCTTGGGATCTGTCCCTCCACAGACTGGGTGCTACTGTGAGGTGGTGTCTGTTTCCCTGGGGTGGAGGAAGGTGGAACCTTGCTAAGCTGTCACTGGGAGAAAGACAGCACTTGTTCCAGCCACAAAGGATGGGGCTCAGTCACATCTGGGTTGAGTGACACTCAGCCTGACCTGTATTCCGATTCATCCACAGACAGTTGGCTCTGGTTTTCTCTATCCTGGTGACTTGTTTTGATGCTGATGCTCTGTGACTTGTTAATGTCACCTGGCCAGCACCATGGCCTCCTGATGAACCAGCCCTGTCCAGCACAGGGCAGTGGCTTCCTCAGCTCAAAGTGCAGGATCCTTTTCTTATCCTCCCTTCCTCCTCAAAGAAAGCCATGCACAGAAGTCAGATCAACAATACAGGTCCACCCTGTAGGAACATAAATGTGATGTAATTGCCCAAAGGCACCCCTTATCCTGAAATTCAGCAGTCATGGACATTATTTAAAATACTGAGACTATCATCACTAGAAACATTGAAATTTATTTTTCACAGATTTCTTAATGTAGAGTTGATGAGTGAAAGGAAAATACATAAGACATACAAAGTGATGTTTTGATATATCTATGTATGTAAAATAATTAAGTTAATGAATTCATCACCTAACATACTTTGTTAAATTGTTAAAAGGGGGAACGTTTTGAAGATCTATTCTAAATTCTTTCTTCTTGGAATTTCTTTTACAGTGGCTTCCATATTGCTCTTTGTCATTATTACAATGACTGTTGTATTTTGTAACATGTAAATAAAAGAATCCCACTTCAGTGTATTTTGAACTCCCTTACAAGATCTCTACTTAAAGCATTACCTTGCTTTCAATACACAGGAAATAATTACCTCTGGATGTATCTACCTGTCTAGCATATGGTGCATCTATTAGTTGTAGGATGCTCTAAACTCTGTAAAGATGCAAGTACACCCTTCCTGTCTTTCCCTGCACAGTACCCCACCATCATCACAGTGAAGATATCACCTTCATTGTGAATTCATCACTCCATTTAGGTTCCAGATCAAGGGATAATATTTAGTTCTAACACTTTATGGTGTTTATTTGTTTATATGGAAATGTGGGACAGAGGAAAGTGTGTGTTTTCAATGGATTTCCCCTGTTTAATGGTTTGGGTTAATTCATTTAAAACATGATGGTTAGAAAGCATTTACTCTGACTTGGAGGCTTACTTATTTATTGGAGAAAAGTCCTTGTGCTACTAAATTCAACTAGAAGGAAACTTCTCGAGTTTCTATATGTTCAGCTAGAAAAGGCAAAGGAATGTTACTTTGCTATGTTAAGCTGTTTGTTTGTATGTTTTGTTTTTGAGCCATATTCTTGGTCCATGGCCCAGGTGGATCTCAAACTCCAGAGCACAAGAGAAGCCCCTGGCTAACCACTGAGAGTGAGGATCAGATGGCAGGCTCATCCACCCCACCCAGATTTACTCAGCCCTCATGAACCAGAGGGGGTGCTTACACCTCCTGGGGAAGGAGTCCCAGATGAACAACCATTGTGGTTGTCCTAGGCAGTCCCATGAGTTATCACAGGACCAGGCCCCTGAGTCCCCTTGCCCTGCCATCCACCATGGATTTTCCCGGGATCAGGAATGGGTTCTGTCTTACCAGGTATTATTAGGTCCACAGCAATAGTAGAATGTAGATGCACATAAAATTGATTTAAAATAAATGAAAGCTTTCATACAAACCATATACTTACCTTAAAAATGACAAATGTATGAGATTAACAAAAATAGAAGGACTGGTGGTCTATTATACCACTAACATGTCCACATGCCCTAAATCCATCCAGTAGAGTTAGAAATAATGATCAACACCATAACCTATAGAACTTCCAGCCCAGACACTGGTATCTAAAAGCCACATTTTCCTGGGCATGGTGTCACACACACACACACATACACACACACACACACACACACACACACACACTCACACACCTCTGTAATCCCAGCACTTGGGAGGCTGAGTGAGGCAAGAGAATCCCTGCAAGTTCAAGGCCAGGCTGGGCTCGGCAGTGAATTGGAGCCATAACTACATAGCAAGACCAGAAATGAATGAGTGAATGAGTGAATGAATAAGTAAATAAATAAATTATTCTTCTCTTTATAAAATTCACAGCTCCTTAGAGGAATACTAGAGCCCTCTGAGAATAAACTGAGTCACTATGGTTAGATTTTAGATCACTTTCCTTCTCTCCACAGAGATATTTCTGGAAAGATCTAACCCAATAAAAGTGAGATGTGTTACAAAGCTAAGGAGACTAGTGATAAAGAGTTGTCTTAATAGTTGGTATCTGGTGGACGATAAATTGTGTTAGCATTATTTGGATTAGATACTTCAATTGTTATGACAAATATGTAAAAACATTCACATCCATTATATTTTTTGAAATATCACTCTTAGTTAAACTTTTGGTTTCTACACCAGAGAAATAATATGATATTTACACATGTGATTTGTTCTATTTCACTTAAGAATATGGTTTCTAGGTGAATCAATTTAGCTAGAAATGTGTCAAGTTTACCCTGTTTTACGACTAAATAGTACTGCATCACATAAAAAAAATACATCTTCTTTGTCCATTCATTTGTTGATGGACAATTACGGTATTTTCCAGAATTAGCTATCACAAATTGTGTTGCTATGAACATGGGTACACATATATCACTGTGGTCTGATGCTTTTAATTCTTTGAGGAAGACACACAGATGGAGGATAGCTGGATCAAATAGAACCTCAAGTCCTTTAATTTGAGTAATCTCCACAGTGATTTCCACAGTGGCTGCACCAGACTGCACATGCACCAGAAGTGGAGAAGGGTTCCTTTTTCCCCACAGCCCCTCCAGCATCTGTTCTTGGTTGATTTCTTTCAGGGGTGAAATAAAATCTCAGACTTGCTTTAATTTCCACAGCTTGAATGACCAGTGATGTAGAATATTTATTCAGATATTTACTTGCTATTTGTATTTCTTCATTTGAAAAATGTTCATTCATCTTAGATGTCAATTTTAGCATTGAGTCTTTAAATTTGTAGAGTTTGATGTTTTCTCGTTTTCATATATTCTAGACATTAGTCTTTCATCTGACAAACAGCTACCAACATGTTTTTCCCACTCTGTGTGTTATCTCTTTACTCTGTTGGTAGTCTCTTTTTCTGTGCAAATTCTTTTTAATAAGATGAGATCTCAGTTATTGATTCCTTGTAATATTTCCTTTGTGGTTGGGGTTTTGTTCATGAAGTCTTTTCTTATAAGTGTGTGTTCAAGAGTTCCACCTCACTTCTCTTCCAGCAGTCTTTCACATGTAGATCTGTTTTTATTTTTCATATATAGATCTTTGAACCTTCTTGATTTAAGTTTAGTGCATGTGGAGAGACATGAGTCTAGTTTTAATCTTCAGCATATGGAAAGACAGTTTTTCCTGCACCATTTATTGAAGAGGCTAACTTTTGTCCATTGGAGGTGTTTGGCCTCTTTGTCAAAGATAAGGTGGCTGAGCTTGTGTGGAATTGTTTCTTAATCTTCTGTGTTGTTTCATTGATCCTCAATTCTCTTTTATTTTGCCATTACCATGCTGTTTTTATCACAGTACCTCATGTTGTACGTTTGTTGTTTAAAAACACATCAAATTTTTATGCAGTAACAGTTAACAGTAATTTCCTCCCAGGGACAAATTTTTCATGCTTTTTGAGTTTTTGTAAGCAATTTCTTGTCTTAGGTATATCTTGAATCATTAAAATATTTTGGAACTCTGTTGATCACATTGGGTGTCTGATTTCACTGAAAATAAATTTTTGTACATAGGTTAACAGGGTTTTAGAAAAATGTGATACTAATGATGAAGGAATCCTTCATCATAGGCTTCTTTCCGACTGATATCTGATGTCACCACTGTTGTGCCTCCTCATCCCTGGTGGATGCCTGGCCCCCTCTCTCTGCCCTTTGGTGGCAGTGAATACTCACCTCTCTCAATGGTCACAATGTCATAGAAATCTCCATACATATAAAGCCTTCTGTATAGATCCAGCTTCTTCTTTTATAAAAATAGTTTTAATTTTTATGGTTTTTCCTTTGTTGTATATGTGAATTTTAAATGAAAAGATAAATTCCATTTTCAATTCAGATTTCCAAAAATTCACTTTTACCAGATAAATATTCCTTCATTCCTT